TAGCCTATGTGTTATTCTGATGTATAAGCTATAGCCTATGTGTTATTCTGATGTATAAGCTATATTGTGGTAAAGTTTCATTCAAATCCATTCAGTAGTTTTTACGTGAAAGAGTAACAAACATCCATACATCCATACATACAAACTTTCGCCTTTATAATAGTAGTAGGATTTACTTACAGGATAATAAAAACAAGTTATCGTCTAGGTTTCATTCAAAAAAATCATTTGTCGAATAATAACATTTAGGTATGCAAAAGAAAACAAAACAACTTCTTTTTAAATTCCTTAAGATTAAGACCTGTAAAACCATTTGGTAATTTATTATAAATACGAATTGCCATTCAGTATACATTATTAGAAAAAAGTTGAATTCTTTGTTGTGGTACACATAACTTATGAGTATGTCTGCTTTTTCTTATTACAACATTATTATGTGTTTGAAATAAACTTATATTTTTATGTACAAAGATACACAGTTCGAAGAGGTGGAAGTGGTAGAATTTTTAACTTTTTAAAGAGTAGAAGACAGCTATGTAGTGGTTCGACATGGAGCGAATACATTTGTTTTGGGCTCGGAATGCTTTAATCATGTCTTCGGAGTTGCCCCATACTATGATGCCGTAGCGTAGAATAGATGCTACGTATCCGTGATAGGCACAAAGTGCTGCATTGAGACCGGCTATCCACGTTATCCTATGTAGGTTATCCGAATACAAATCTCTGTAGTTTAGTGCATAATATGTCAATGTGTATTTTCCAGTTACAATATTTGTCCAATGTTATACCCAAAAATGTTGTAGCTTCGACTTCCTCTACAACGCTATTCGCATATTTTATTTCCAATTTCTGACGTTTATTATTATAAGCCTGGAACTGTATAAGTTTGGTTTTACTAATGTTGACGTGTAAATTGTATCTTTAAACTGTCAAACACCAAGCGGTCACCGGTGACCGCAACCTATTGTTCTATAATTGTGTCTACAAAACCGGTACTCGACGAGTTAAGCCATTCTATTAGTTTGTTTAGTGTTTCGTTAATCTCCATTTCGTACTTTGTGATATTGTTATCTGTGAGTTTGATATTAAGAGTGGTGTCAATGGCGTATAAAATGCATTGATGTGGTGTAACATGAGGCAAGTCGTTGATATGTAATAAGAATAGAAAGGGTCCAAGTATGCTACCTTGGGGAACACCACATGAGTTTTGACGATAGGCAAATCCATAGGTTTTTTTCTCTGATAAGGTAAGCTTTGAGATCTCTACACTCTGTTGTCGATTACTCAGATATGTTTCAATCCACGGTAACGCTTTTCCTCTAACACCAAAGCGATTCAACTTAAAGAGAAGTAACTTGTGATTCACGAAGTCGAAAGCTTTTGATATATCGAGAAATATTGATGCTATTGGTCTTTTGTCATTTAAACTTGAAGTAATCATCTTTATAAGAGTAAAACATGCAAGAGTTGTTGACTTGTTCTTTCGGAAGGAGTTTTTATCGTACATAACTCTTTCAAAAATCTTAGAAATTACTGGTATTAGAGTAATCGGTCGATAATTATTTAAGTCATGTTTGTCTCCCTTTTTAAACAACGATTTAAAAAGGGAGACGGGACGATAAATAGCTTTAGTCTTGTGGGGAAAACACCTTCGAACAGTGATAAATTAATAATGTGGGCCCTCGCCCACATTATTAATTTATCACAATCTATATGTCAGCCCCTCGGCTGACATATAGATTTGGAGCAGTGCCTAAGGATTTTTGTATTGATATCATCATATCCTGTAGAGTTAGTGGAGTTTAATGAATTAATAATTTTGTACACAGTATCTTCGTTAGTCGGGGTCAAGAATATGCTATCTGTATAAGTTAATATTTAGCGGTTTCGATTGTTTCATCCTATAAAGGGCGCCACAAACCTAGCTATAACATATATATTTGTATAGCTAACCCTGCATCATGGTCCGGAAATTGTTACACGTACGAGGTGGGTGACCAGAGTACCAAGCACGAATAACTATCGCAATCGTAACGTAATAGTATCGAGCGCGTTAGGCGCTCGGATTTGTTGATTTACAGGAGCCGGCCTTATTAGGAGTTTGTTCCACGTACTAATCGAATCGAGTACAAGTGCGGTGCTCTGATTGGCCGGCGAATGTGAATATTTTAGAATCTATTTGAGTAAGTTTATATTATTTATTACCTATCTAAATTTATTTATGCTTATGACGGTACCGCAAAACAACAAAAGTAGCGTCAAAAATAACAAAAAGCTTATTGGAGGACTGATTGTTGCTGGTCAACAACTGATATTATCTTCATTAGGTTAATTAGGTAACATGATCCCTTTTATTATAAAGTTAATATAAGACTTAGGGTAACTTTGAAAATAAAAATGCAGAAATATTTTTATAACATATAATTAAATAACCTCCAAAAGTTAATACTTCTTATAATAAACGCTATCAAAATATTATTGACTTAGCATAGAAACAGCGTCTTTATGGACGAGATAAATATCATTTATTTACATTCTTGGCAGTAGCCATATAATAACAAATGACAAGAATATATTATTATACACAGATTTGTATAAATTATAATTTCATGATGAGAGATATTGATTTTAGTAAAAAACTTAGGTTCACATTTCTCAGACGAATAATATTGTATTTGCTTCTTATGTTCAATCGTTCATTCGTTCCATTCATTCACTCGTTCACTTAAGGTATGCGGTGTTTAGACGGTCTCCACCATGAGCGCGATGCCCTGGCCCCCTCCGATGCACGCGGAGCCAATACCACGCTTCAGACCACGACGTCTAGAGAAAAAAACATACAAATAACTTAATAATACACTCAAATCCACCATCATCATCATCATCAAAGTAGTATAAATCTCATCTTATGTCCAATGTTGGGCAACTGACTGCCACGCAATGTGTCGCGGGTTCGATTCCCGCACAGAATAACTCTTTGTGTGATCCACAGATTGTTGTTCCGGGTCTGGGTGTCATGTGTATGTGAACTTGTATGTTTGTAAACGCACCCACGACACAGGAGAAAATCCAAGTGTGGGGCAACGTTAAAAAAATGCTATTCTTCCCATATAACAACAAAATAAATATTTCAAATGGCATTTCATTGCTTGTATTGTATGTATTGTTACACACTATCTTTTTATCAGTATTGGATTAGATAACACATTGTTTTCCATTTTGGCGTAAGAACAAACATGTAAATGGGGATACAGACATTCAGATGGTCATAAAGGGGAGAGACTATGAGACACGGGCTTTTGTTGTCTATGCAAGGAGGTCTTAAGTGTACAAAATACTTGCTTCCATTACCTGAGCTCATGCACCAAGTGTGCGGTGATACGAGATCCCGAGGCTCCGAGAGGGTGTCCTAGGGCAGTGGCACCTCCGTTCACGTTCAATTTCTCCATGTCAAGCTTCAGAGCCTTGGCGCAGGCCAGGGTCTGAGCGCAGAAGGCTTCGTTGATCTGTTTGGACAAAATATGAAATATAACGTCAATAAAGTTCCTTGGGAAGTAATTGATCACTAACAAAATGGTGTTATCTGGAAATCGACTTAAAATTGTAGACAGTAAGTACCTAATTTTTACTTGAGAAAAAGTGCACTCACCTCAATCAGGTCGATATCATTGAGGGACATCTTAGTGACCTTGAGCAGGTTCTCGATAGCTGGCACTGGACCGACGCCCATGATGCTGGGGTCTACTCCAACGTAGGACCAGCCTACTAGTCGGGCGAGGGGCTTCAGACCCTTGGCAGCTTCCTCACCAGCCAAGACTATGGCACCGGCACCGTCACTGATACCCTAGAGGGGTGATGGCGATTAGAACCTATAAGCCTATTGTCTAGTCTTTGATAATGTCACCAGTAGTTGTGATATAATGATATGTACCTAGATCCTATCTGTCTTTTGTATCAACTTATAAAAAAACAAACGAAAAATTGCAAATAAATGCATTGATCTATTGATCCATCATAGCAGTCTGCGTTTTTTATTATTATTACTCATTTATTATTTTGTTTATGTATTTTTATTCATTTTTTTATAATAACTATCGTGAGACATACTAAATTAACTAAAAATCGCGGATAGGCTGCGCGACATCGACTTGACCGCACACGCTGCTCATAAGGAAGAACCCCTCTGTGGTTCGAAACTAGTAAAGCTTTTCTCAGTATTTTCACGTGAGTAACCCGCGATTTTTAGTTAGTTTCATTCACTTATTATGGCGAGTATTTTTTTCTTCTAAAATTTCTTAATGATGAGATACTTACAGACGCAGTACCAGCGGTAACCAGACCCTCTTTCTTGAACACAGGAGGCAGTTTCTTAAGACCTTCAATGGTGGTCTGAGGACGAGGGTGTTCGTCCACTTCAACCTTGACCTCCTTCCTCTTTACAGTCAGGGTCACTGGAGTAATCTCAGCCTTGAAGACACCCGCGTCTTGGGCTGGTTAGGGAATGATGACATTTTTATTAAGTCATTTTCAAACCGCAAAATTCATTTTAAGAAAAATCTTTTGCATATTCTGAATTTAAATTATCGAAGAATCTATATAACAAAAAAGGTGACTAGATTGTGTGAGAAATGTGAAAGAACTTACCGGCCTTCCATCTCTGCTGGGACCTCAGAGCGAAGTTATCAACCTCATCCCTGGTGATACCGAACTGTGCTCCGAGCTTCTCAGCAGTCATACCCATGGGAAGACCGCAGTAAGAGTCAGTGAGACCAGCCCATAATGTGTCTTCGAAAGCATACGATGAACCCAAAGCTGTTCCGAATCTCACGTTCCTAACTGCGAAGGGAGCTTGAGACATGTTCTCTACTCCACCAGCGATGGAGATCTTGGCAGAACCGGTTAAAATATCCTATAGGATGAAAGCATATAAACATGTATTTATTGTTATTTTTGACACTTAATACTACTTTGATAGGGAAAGGAAGAAAAATAATAATCCAAACTCAAAGTTAAAGTAAAGCTACCGTGTCACGCCAAAGTGCAAGGGACGTGTGGTTCCTTTACGTCTACATACGCCAACACGTCAAGATCAATCTTCTTTTTTGAATTTTCTAATTTACTGTTTTGCAATAAAGTTGAAAATGTATTAAGTATGTTAGGTATACCTGTGCGCTGTTGACGACTGATTGGAAACCAGAACCACAGAGCCTGTTGACGCCAAGCGCTGGCTTGTCCTGAGGGATGCCTGCCTTCAGCATCACGTGGCGGGGAATGAAGATACCGTCTGTTTGAGATGCCTGCGTAAAATAATGTCGCTGTTCCAGTTACACATCATTTTCAAGATCCTTATTACAATTAGCTGCTAGAGCTTAGTTACAGTTATTATGTGTTACGTGATTTCGTTACGTTGTTGTTATTTTTTGCAGTCAGCATGCTTGCTATCTTTTTTATCCGTTTGTTTGATGTGTCGTAAATAAATGCGTGATAATTAATTTGTTACAACTTGTAGTTATCATGTAAATCGACTGTCATGCAAGTAGAAGACATGACACTGGGAATAATTATCTAAGAATTACTAATGAATTTGAATTAAATGCAATTCAGTACCTAAGTTATGATTAAGCTTTGATTAAGCTATGATTAATGAAAAAGTTCCTATAGTGGATTTTGTATAATTTCAGTATTTTTCCAATATTCCTCTTTTTAACCTTATCTAACGTAAATTAACGTCGTCACCGCTGAAAATGTCGTCGTTTCCCATTATCCCTTAAATCTAGAAAGGCCAGGCATCGAAATGACCTAGCGGCAGTTCAAGGTAAATCATTATTTTATTTTTTAAATATAATGTTTTTCTAACTGAAAACAATAATAGTTTTTATAATAACCATCGTGAGACATCAATACATAGTATAAAACAAAGTCGCTTTCGCTGTATGTCCGTATGTATGCTTAGATCTTTAAAACTACGCAACGGATTTTGATGCGGTTTTTTTTTAATAGATAGAGTGATTCTTAAGGAAGGTTTGTATGTATAATACATGCATATTGCACCCGTGCGAAGCCGGGGCGGGTCACTATATTAAATAAACTAAAAATGTTATGTCTCATGAGGAAGAACCCTCTGTGGTTCGAAAATAGTAGAGCTTTTCTCAGTATATTCACGTGAGTAACTCGCATTTTTTCGTTAACAATAATAGTTATTAAAATAAAATAAATAATAGTCAAAACATTCACGCATCTACCTTTATAAATAAGAAAGATATGAATTATGAAACTTGCAAATGGGACAAAATTGGAACGCCGGCCTTTCTAGTGTTAACAGGCATCATAACATCGCTCAGTTTTCTTTCATTTCATTTCTCATACAATACATTCGTCTTTACATTAAACTTAGCCCTTCTTTTCTTTGAACCTAACATTTTTAAAGCTATGCACTCAAACTCCTGGGTCCTTTTTGGTACTTACCGTCATAACCTGGCCCACGACAATGGAGTCGACCTTCTCGGGGGCGACTCCAGCCTCCTTCAGGGCTGCGATAGTGGCTGTAGTCTGTAGCTCAGTAGCGGTTGTGTTACGGAACACACCACCGAAGGTGCCGAAAGCTGTGCGCTTGGCACCCACGATGAATATACCTGAACAAACAAACATAAAACTATGAGTAAAACATAAAATAACATCACGCCTTTTATCCCCGAAAGGGTAGGCAGAGGTGCACATTATACCAATGAGCAATGTAACACCCACTTTTCACTATTTATGTTATGAGTCCCATGTAATAGGGGGTGAGCCTATGAGTAAAACGTAGACAGGTTAATAGATTTTATAGGTTTGTATAGGTATTTTTGTTGTTTGTATTGATTGTCTAATGTCTAGTATGGTCTAGTTGTTAAACCTTCCTGATTTGATTCGATCCCTGAGCCAGCCAATGCTTATTACATTCCTAAAACAGGCTAGTGCCTGTGACTAGTGTCAAGATTAGGTGATACTTTACTCTCTTGCTTTTGAATGCACCTGCTTGCTTCTGAATGAAATGAATGCGTTCGGCACTCTGATTGGCCGGCTCAAGTGAACCAACCAATCAGAGTGCCAAGCACGAATAACTATCGCATTCGTAACGTAATAGTATCGAGCGCGTTCGGCGCTGTGATTGGCCGGCTCAAGTGAACCAACCAATCAGAACGCTTAACTCGCTCGATACTGTTACGATACGAATGCGATAGTTATTCGTGCTTAGCCCTCTGAACGCTTAACTCGCTCGATACTGTGACGATACGAATGCGATAGTTATTCGTGCTTGGCACTCTGATCCCTCTCTAGCTAGTGTCATTTTACTGATTATATTATTAGATAAACTGCATCTGTATTTCTACAAGTCATGCGCAGATGGTTAAATTTTGAGATTAAGGGAGTTTATTTATGAACAATCTTTTATCTGTAGACGCAGCGATTACAGTGAATGTTAGAACAAGGATTACTCTGGTTATTTTTCTGTTTCGTTCATAATCCTCTAGGTTTACTTAATCCGAATGAGTACGCAGTTGCGTTCGCTATCTACGTCATAAATTCACAAAGTCAAACTATTGTTATTTCTAAAACAAATAACATTAAGTACATCAAGTCAAACATACAGTCAAATGTTTTCTTCCTCTCTCTTCTCTGAGACTTTGTACCGTGAAAATCATTCATAATTCAGATAATTCTTGGAAACAGCTAAATGAATTTAAATTGATGATTAATTTTTAATGTCATAGCTTGGTCCTTTTGAACTAATGTATAGTCCATAGTTGCTGTAATTTGTTTTTAAACGTTGTGAGCTGTCACCACAATCTATGGCTGTGACTGTTAATTATTTTTTATGGTATAAGCCGGTAAACGAGTTGACGGATCACCTGAGGGTATGCAATCGGCATCGCCCATAGACATCTGGAACACCAGAGGTGTTACAAGTGCGTTACTGGCCTTTTGGGATTAGGAATTTGAGGATTGTGTTGGGGATTCAGGGATTGGGAAAGAGGAGGGGGTAATTTGGCCTCCGGTAACCTCACTAATACGACGAAACACAACGCAAGCGTTGTGTCACGTCGGTTTTCTGTGAGGCCGTGGTATCAATCCGGTCGATCAAAGCATGGCTCCTACACTTAAAATAATGAAATAAATACTTCAAACCATATTTTGATCACAGCATCTAGCGGCTTCCAGCCTTTTACCATTTGGGGATCACAGCATCGTGTAAATTAAACACGACTATGATTATTAAATCTAGTATATTTTAAGAAGTTATAAAATACAAATTTTCCTCAGAATTCTTTATATCTACTATTTTAACAGTGGGGGCAACGAACAGCTGATAAACGGATTGACGAACTGATACAGAAATCCTTTTAAAGATAAGTAAAGTCGGTGTAATTTTGTAGTCTAAAATTAACGCGTCGACTTTGACCTCCATTTTAAACTTGGCATAGAGAGCACAGTTGGACTGTTGACCCTGATTATATAACCAGATGTAATACAATGTATTGGAAGACTATGTCAATGACTCTTTTTTATATAAGAACCTTATCCATTAAAATAATTTGATCTCTTGTAGGTAGATGATAATGACGGTCAATGACCTAGATCAGTCACTAAAAGTACCTCGAAAAGTGAATAGTTCATTATAAAAATGTTAAGAAATTATATACGTATAGACGTTCGCGATGCTTCATGCTTACTTATTTATTAACAACTAAAGTAAAATTGCTCACGATAATAAAATACAAATACTAAATACCCACTTAGTCATTGTTACGAAACCTCTCAAAAAGTTAAGGAGGTATAAATGAAAACTTGCTTAATAACAGAAAGCTGAAAATTGATTACAGTATCAATAGATACAGAAGAGTCGATTCATCTTTCCTTTTTATATGTACAGAGTTAATGATTATAAAAACTGCTGACGTTGATAAGAAATACATGTTAAGGTACTATCACTAAGCCTCTTTATTCGTAACATTCGTAAAAAGACAGTCACGGTTAAATTATTGTCATATCTATGTTACGTATCCGTCGTGTAATAAGCATGAAAGACATTTTTAATATTATCAATCTCTTGTATATGAATTAGTCGCATCTCATCGCGGGGTAATTTAATGACTAGGTTTAGAGTCTAAACTTTAGACTCTAAACCTAGTCATATTGAAAGAGAAAGATAGTCATAGAGACAATATTTCCACGTATTCTCATCCCAATTTCCCATCGCTTTTCTTGGCTGAATCGTAGTTAGAGGTTCCAGAATAAAAATTTTGACATTAACCCATTGACCTAATACACCACATTGACCACTTAAACAAGATAGTTGAGTAAAGACTAGAAGGAAATAAGCCTGTAGGATTAACATACTGTTTGAGAAATTAAAAGTTAGAGTAAGCTCGAAAGTGGTACCAGGCAGGTTACAGAGAAACTGAGATGTAATTTCTCTCCATTGGTGCCTTTTAAGGGGCAAAATCATCGAATGACTGCTCCCGCCTGGGTGAGGCGGTAGGGAGTGTCAGAATCTTACTGAGTAAAAACCACACCGTTCCTTCTCCTGCACGTCGAGCCGGAGCCCCGGTTACCTGTTAGGTTTTCCGCGACTCCGAATCGGCATCGGCCCTGTTGGGCCCCATTTGTGGTGGTCTGATTGCTCTTTGAGGCGCGCGCGGAACACGACGCGCCGTACGCTCGAGTCTGTTTCTGGTCGGACGGGGAGCCTCCCATGCTCGCCGTCCGCAGGCCCGCGCTTACGGTGACCGGAGATCGTCCCGCGATCCCCGACGCCCGGGGTGTCATTCGCGATGGCTGGGTTGCGAGGAGGCGGCGCTTCGCTGCCTCACGCGTCCCGCCTCCTCCTTAGCAGCTTAGTGCATGACTGCTCCGCAAAAGGAGGAGACGGCATCCCAGTCCCACTCGCTCCGCATCATGGCCTGCACTAGGCCCGGACGCGAGAGGTCGCCATCGCCGATCACTTCCCTGAGGGCACGGCGGTGCTCAGCCCACGCAGAGCATTCCGCTACAGTGTGTTCCACCGTATTCTCAGGGCGGTCCTCGCAGTGATGACACCCGGGCGTTTCCTCTCGCCCCATCAGACACAGGTACCTCCCAAAACTTCCATGTCCGGTAAGGACCTGTGTCAGGTCAGGCGGTAGGTGAGGACGCCGTAGCGACTTCGTCCCCGTAGAATATTATTATAGGTAGATTCCTGTTTTATCCCATGAGAGCATTTAGTATCCTACCACTAAGTCAGCCCATACCCTACCTGTAGCTATACCAAATTTTATTAAAATCCGTTCAGTAGCTTCAGCGTGGTTGACGAACAAACAGCCAAACAAAGAAACTTTCACATTTATAATATTAGTGGATCGACGTTTGGTAACCATCTCGCCTGGTGCCGGTGGTACGTGGTGATGCGGGCTACGGCTAGATGGAGCACGGCTGTTCATAACCAATCTATTGTTTAATGGCATTGCATTGTTATTCCGATAGTTAGATACTCTCACGAATATTGATGTACCTACCTAATACTTAGGTGTAACGCTTGGTAAAGAAGTAGACCGTACGTAATAGTTATTTCTTTATCATTAGTGAAGGGATATTATTATTAGTGTAATAGGAAGGAGGGAGACGTTGTATACGCCAGATGGACACAAAACATATGTAATGTTTATCTAACTATACCTACACAAGTACACACCTTTAGTTTAAAGTTAAAAGATGAAGGTAAAATGGGTCAGTGGGTCGTCTTGGGACGGCTCCATGGCGGTTCTACGCTAGCTAAAAAATATTCCCATCTGAACTAGGTATTGTCAATTTTGTAAATTCCCGCTACGTATACAGTTTTACTCCTGGTGTTTGTGTGTGAATTTTGTTGGTACAATATACTAATATCTGAGGTCAAAATCTGAATAAGTTCCTATGTTGTTAATCCAATTGAACCACTTACAATACAATAACTATTAAAATAGTTCATATTGATGTCCATTTAGAATGGAAAAGTTGTTTGTAAAAACTTTGGAGTTTGACCCCACCGCAATAATGTATTAAATTTTAATGAATTATCACATCAGTTAGGTATTGTAACATTATAGTGATGTATACGATAGCTTACCTTTAGCTGCTACGGACATTTTGGTTATAAGTAAGGTATTTTTCGTAAAAAAATAATTAACTCTCCGCAACACACACACCACCACACACTTCACAACTTTTGAATGAACATTGAACTAATTAGACGCTGTCTTTTGTAGACCGATTGAATGGACTGATAAGACATCGCAAATTGAATGATTTACTGATAACTGAACGAAAAGAACCAGGGTGACAAGATCATAAATTGAGTTTGTTTATTGTGGTTTAAATTAAATTAAATTATTATACATTTTGTGTACACTATATCATTTTCCCTTATCATTTGACTTTCGACTTTCCCTTATCATAGAAGGATGTTTCAAGATCTCTTAAAGTTTAGAGGTAATGAATACTTTATTATCATTGTTTTTTGTGAATTCGAACTTATTTTTTAACTGGCAATACAAATTTGACGGCTGACTTTACGAGTACTTGGCTTCTAAAAATTAATTTCTTTATTTATCTTTATCGCAAGGAATGCTTATGCAATGAGCGATGGTAGGTCTGTAAGTGGCCAACTGAAAAAGTTCGTGTTTCGTGGCAAGTCATCAAGTAACGGCGACACTCGAGGTGAATATTTGGAGATAGTTATACCGGAGCTTCTGACGGCTGGCTATTCGTTCTACACGTGGCCGTCGGCACCCTTATTAGCTTGGTATTTGTGGACTCAAAGGCGACATTTACGCGGACTCCGCGTATTAGAGCTTGGCTGTGGAACTGGCCTGCCAGGCATCTTAGCCGCAAAGTGTGGCGCCCGTGTTACGCTCACTGACAGCGTTGCTTTGCCGCGGTCCTTGCGGCATCTGTCTGCGTGTTGTGAGGCCAATGGTCTTGTCGTTAATCGCGACGTAAAGATCCTAGGTCTCGCCTGGGGCCTATTCCTATCAGAAGTTCACGCACTTAGACCAGTAGACTTAATATTAGCTTCAGATTGTTTTTACGAGCCCTCCCAGTTCGAAGAAGTGCTATCGACAGTCGCTTATCTGCTAGACGGCACTGACGCCCGATTTTTATGTTCTTACCAGGAGCGCAGCGCAGACTGGTCCATTGAGGCTCTTCTGAAGAAGTGGGGCCTGAAGGGAGCATTGCTGGACTTGGACTCGCTCAGTGAGAGTTCAGGTGTTGACTACCGAGCATTGGTAGGAGATAGATCTTTGCATTTACTTGAAATTGTGGCACTCTAAGGTTATGGCCAGCACAGCAAGAGCAGCCCGCCTTTATGTCGGCAACCTGTCCTGGACTGTTGGTCATCGCCAACTAAAAGAATACTTTTCCCAGTTTGGACCAGTACAAAATGCTAGAGTAGTGTTTGACCGTTCTACAGGCCTTAGTAAAGGATACGGTTTCATAGAGTTTGCCAACTCATCTGCTGCTGCAGATGCTACTAACAAGCAAGTGCATACATTAGAAGGACTGAATTTAGTTGTTCAAGTTCAAAATAGTTAAACAGTTAAAGTCAAACCATAGTTAGCTTTTACAATGGCTGAAGCTCTTCCAGAATACCCAGATTCAGACTTCTCTGATGATGAACAGTCTCCGTTAGACAAATCTTTTAGCAAAGCATCTGACCATGTAAGAAAACTAACCAATGTACTAAATAACAACCAACTGCTGGAGCTATATGGTCTGTACAAACAAGGCACTGAAGGTAAATGTAACATTCCTAAGCCTGGCTGGTTAGATGGCAGGGGGCGCAAGAAGTGGGAAGCATGGAACTCTCTCCGTGACATGCCACAAGATGAGGCTAAACAGAAATATATAGCATTAGTACAGAAGTATGCCCCAGAACTGACAGATCTTTCAAATGACAATGAGTCAGGAGTAAAGGAAGCATGGGTAGCTGTATCTTCCATGCTTAAATCACCAGAACCTGAACTGGTACACAATGAATTGTCCATATTAGATGCAGCCAGAGAGAACTGTGCTGACCGGGTCACAGAACTTCTCTCCAAACATCCAGAACTTCGTCATGAAACGGACGAGGATGGTCTCTCCGCCTTGCACTGGGCTGCTGACAGAAATGCCACTGAAGCATTAAAAGCTGCTTTGGAAGGAGGGTGCCCAGTAGATGCAGTGGATGAATGTGGTCAGACAGCTCTACATTATGCTGCAACCTGTGGCCACATTGAGTCAACCACTATTTTATTGAAAGCTGGTGCTTCACTGCTAAAGGATGAGGATGACTGCACTCCACTAGATTTGGCTTCTGATGACGACATACGGAAAGTTCTGGAAGGTGCTAAGTAGATTAAGTTACAGTCTACTGGTGACATGAATATTGCATTGTGTAGCCTTTTCTATTTAACCGAAAATATATTTCATGGATTCATGCCGCCATTAGACTGAGCGCAAGTTTTAGTTAGAATTAACATTGGGTTATTGTAGTTATTCATAATAATAAAATCTGATAATATTTTATATTTGTTTTATTGCTAACTTAGACATCACACTATAACAGTTAATACAATTGAAGTATTATTATAGGGCTTCACACATTTATTAAAAATTCTTTCTTTCATTTCTCGTACCTCTGGTGCTATAACGTCACTTATGTATTGCGGAGGCCCGCGCGCAACTAAACAATGAAACGTTGTTTCTCCCAGTGCCATCCAGATTAGCCCCAAAACCGTAACGGCAGTAATGCCCTCACAATGTCAGTTTGCTTACTACACAAATGACAATAAATAACGCACCAAGTAAAGAGGTGAATTTGGAGTATTCTTTCATCAGTTAAGGTTTGACAAAAATTGCATAATCGACGATATTGCACTGTAGGTGCGTTCTCTTATTCAAAGGTTAATATTTATAGTGTTGTGATCCTTTACTATTGCGAATATCAATTCCAGGTACCTTACACATTCCTGTTTGTTCAAGCCACATTACTTCAATATGTACAAAATATTAAAATTGAAGTATCAACCTACATATTAGTAATCTAGTAAATCAGTCATAACTTGAAAGTTAATGTAATAAGCTATGTTTACCTTACAAATGAGAAAAACGTTAATTATAAATAAAAGGCATATACTTCACTCTCATTAATGCCACATTTGCACAATTTACCTACTGACACAAATATAAGCGCAAGTCCTTTCAAGAGTTAGACGTAATGTTGTATTTATTAGCAGTTTTGCTAATTAATAGGGTAATTATTATGTATATCGGCTTATTCACGTAATTAATTGACGAGGAACTCTACTAGTTTCAAGCCATGCTACTAATGCAATAAAAATAAGTCAAATAATAACGTAAGCCGAAATACACAATAATTAATTTAGTAAGTCTCACGAAAGTTATGATGATACAAACGGTATAGCTATTTAAAATGCTGAATTACATAAAACATGGTACTAGCAATGCAAACAAAAACTATGGAGATAGCAAATTCATGAGGTCATCTATAAATTACGAATTTTAAGGTATTTTTGCCCCTCCCCCGTCCTTGTCACAGGTAGTCACGTTTTTGAGACTCCTCCCCCCTAGTGTGACGTCACATTTTGCAGAATTGCAGTATAGAAACTATTGTTATTTTTATTTCCACTAAAATTACTTTAAAAATTATTTTTTAATGTGAAACCAATTAATAAAATAAAAAACATATTTGGTATTTTTACGCAGATTAGAATAGTTTTTGAAATGTGACATCACAAAGTTTTGGATCCCTCCCTCCCCCTTGTCACACTTCGTCGACCCCCTCCCTCCCCCTAAAATTGGACGTAATTCATGCATGGCCCATAATAAACAAGTGTAAAGGACTTATAACTAATCCAGTGCCAATATCAAAAGGAGGACATACATTCACGCCCTTCACAGATATCAAAATTCAATCAATACAATTACCTACTCGTCAATATTTAATTCACTATTATCACTATACTCTCATAGGATTCTCAAAGACACTAATCACTAAAATCCCATTTACCACTTTCATTAAAATTTTACCCATAACAGGCACCTCCATTTCACCCAACTTCGATTGATCTAAACCTTACTACTACCATGGGCCCGATATAAGAATACATATTATATAGGCGCATGTAATTGCTATATTATTATTATACTTTTCAGTTTGGCCCGTGTATCATATGCAGCCACTAATTTAGACATACATTTTAGAATAATATTTAGTAGACAATGAGTATGTATACAAAATATGAACTCAATTTACCTTGCTAACGTGGACAATGTTTATCTTTATATTCTTTATAATTTTTTTTTATTAAAAACTGTTTTAAATCATCAATAGGTAATTTTGAAACTAAAGTTTGATCACACCTACTGACATGAACTTAAAAATTTATGCTTGGGACATAAATTAGTTAGGGAAACCTATAAAATACCACTACTACCATTTGGTCTAGAATAAGCAATTGGCAAGGCAATAAAATACAATATTCCAACTAACACAAATACGTGACTTACATACAAAAATAGTTACTTTAGTATTTACTTTGTGGTGTCATACATTCAGCTTTAGTAAAATAACCTTCTCCTTTTTGAGAAGTCGGTCTAAAACTACATTTAAAAGCTAATATAAAGTATGTACCTTCCATCTTCGTCTGGTAAAGATATTATTACTTTTTCAAATACGAAAACATGTCTTATTGCTTATGTATGATGCAAAACCTACATATACTTGAGGCGAATTTGTTTGTTTAAACGCGTTAATCATCGGAACTACTGGTCCGAACTCCGAATTGTACAAGGTGTAGTTTTGAAGCCGTGTCATTTCTCGGGGGCATGTCACAGAAGTCATAAAGGTTCAATGTAAGAGACAATTTCGGGCCCATAGTTAAAAATACAGCTATAATAAATCGTTTAAGTATTGGAGTTTTATGAAATTAGAAATAATATCAATTACGTGTCGAGTTTGTGTGTGTTAAGCCGCGTTATAAAGCTAGTTACAAGACCGCGGCGTGTAGATCGCACTTACGGATTTCCGTAATTTACAGAAAAATGTAAAATTTTTACCTACTTACAATTTTTTTATTGATTCGGACTCAGAATCGATAGCCGAGTTACCTCCTAGAAAATGACGCGGCTTTAAAACAACGCCTTGTATAATTCTTTTCGTTCGGCCACGAGATAATAGAGCACAAATATACATACAGGTTAAACTTTCTTCTTTTTTTGAAGACGGTTAAAATAGGTATCTTATAGAATATTTTAAAGGATTTTTTATTTAAACGAATTCACTAACGTTTTCAATACTTATTATAGCAAAGTTCACCTAAAATTACTTTAGAGTTGTAGTTTTCGAGATCCTTTTTATAAGGACCACATCAGTTATTATCATTAGTTTAATAATAATACCTTACAATACATCACGCCTTAATTCCTCAATGGTAGGCACATGTGAAAGTATAATTATAATTATTATTAATATACGTTCCATTTAATATAAAGCGACCGTACTAAACACTATTTTGATATTACTTTCATTACTTAATATTTAAATACCTTTGTGAGAAATGTGGATTTTAAACTACTAATTTGATATAAAAATCGAATGATATTTAGAAAAATAGTTGTAGATTTTGACTAGTTGACAATATCCTTAGCTAAGTATTGTTATATTTTTTAGGGTAATAAACAACTGTGGAAGTCTACTAACATAGTTATACAGATGCTGGTACATCGATAGACCGTACTTTGTCAAATATCTTCAAATTTACTATTCTATAGAGTTACAAATCTTCTCTATCTTACACGAGACAATTCCAGAGGTCAGTGGCAAGTAATGAATTAAAAAAAAACTATAAATTTCTTAAAAATTAAACAAGACTTCATGACGATCGATTGAGCAGTCGCGCTTGCAATCACTTCACCAAAGAGGCCGAATATAAAAAATAAACTAGTAAATAAAGATAGAATACCTTGACATGTAAGCATGACAACATCTAACACTGAAATACTCAAACACTACTCAATTTTATGTAGCTCTTAAGTCTGTTATGTACTGTTCTGGGCCTTTAGCCAAACGCCACCTTAGCTCTTGTCTACATAGAGAGTAGAAAACTAAATGTATGTGGATGACACTGACATGTGCCAAAATTTACGTAATTCCATATAATTTAGTATTCTATTCTACAAGTAGACAAGCGCTAAATGTCATTTGGCTACAGCTGCTTGACATCTATGCATGACAACATCTAACACTGAGGCCTTAGTACAAGTTGGTTTTACGTTTTATTACGTTTAAAGTAATCGAAACGAGAACACGTTCGGCGCTGTGATTGGTTGCTTCATTGGTGCCGCAAACTCGTACTAAGGCCTTTGAAATACTCAAACGTTACTCAATTTTAAGAACATAGCTTGTCTTTACAAATTCTTTGTTCTCGACGACACGGTTAGTGCGTTGGCTAGGCAACGTGCCACGGGTTCTATTCCCCCACGGAGCAACTCTTTCTGTGATCCACAGATTGTTGTTCCGGGTCTGAGTGTCATGTGTATGTGAAATTGTATGTTTGTAAACCCACCCACGACACAGGAGAAAATCTGAATGTGGGGCAACATTTTTTTTTGTTTTTTATGTGCGGAAAGATGATGCGACGCGATACCAGGATAAACTGGTTTGTATAGATTGATATGTGGCTGTGTGTACTATGACAGAGATGTCATGATATTTAAGTACAACTTAAAATAGAGTAGCCTTTCAGTATTCGTACAGAAGCATTATTATAAGAATAATTTTGTTTACTTATACAATGCTTATAAACTTTAATTTTTATATCTACTTTGTATGCATTATACGCTTTTATGGTGGGATGCTAGTTATCCTTGGCCTCCTTGTGAGCCAGTCCGTCTCCCGAGTCGAGCTGCTTCAGTAGCCGGAACAAAGCCGCAGCCTCTCTGATGCGAGAGAATTCTACGCAGAACGCTTCCACTTCAATAAATAGCTCCTGTAAACACGACATACATCAATAAGTAAAATATTTTTTATTGCGACAATAATTATGTCCACTGTTTTATTCTGAAGGAAATAGAATAGACAGAGGGAGAAAGTCATCCAATGAATTCTCTCTCACCCGGGTGACCCGAGAGGGAGTCTCAGACTCTTCTAAAACCAACATTCCTACTCCTACTCTTCGAGCCGAAACCCCGGCAACCTGGGTGCTTACTCTTGAAACCAATCTCAATGTCAATGCAATTTCAATCCAATAAAATCTCAATAATTATTCAATGTCAAAACTATACAACCCCTATCGTAGCTATTAAAATAGCATTCAGAGTACGGAATATAAAGCCAAACTCAATACCGTTTAGTTCATTCAATATACACGCAATACGGATGCAATGGGCGCTAGTGTTGCAACTCAAGAGTACGAAATTTCACAATGTCAATGTCGATCGATCGAAATTGGATTCAAGAGTAAGCCCCCTGTTAAGTCCTCTGCGGCAAATTCATTTTGCCTGGTCTTTCGGGCTGCAAGATGCGCGCCGCAATTATTGTAGCGCAAAATAGGTCATTGCTATGAGCGCCAAGAGTGTCTAGAAATAAGTTAACTCCACAAACAGAGCAGTGCAACATTTAAAAATTTCTTCTATCAACTAAGACTAAGCTTTACAAAATAATGTTATAGAATCAAAACATACCTTTACGTTTATTATCTTGTTCCTAATAAGAGACTGTAGGAAGACGCAGACGAGTCTCACGAGCCGGTTCTGCATGTACCGGTCCCTGATAGTCTCGCACGTAGAAATACAGTTACTTATATAAAGGTGCACGAACTCCACCGGCAGATCTACTGATGTCGTCAGTCTAAAATGGAATTGAAGATTAATTGTTAATTTTTTGCGCTTTCTAGGTGGCGCTAGTGATGTTTATGGTACTACCGGTCTAGGAATTGCAGTTAGTTGAAGTTTGGAAGTCGTTATTATAAATTATTTATTGAGTTATTGGTTATTTAAAATACTACTATTGCATCCAGTAGTATGGTATCAGATAGGAAAAGCAAAATGTATTATATATAATTGTATAATAATTATCATTGGACTCCACCATATAAAATTTTACAGACTATACTCGGAATTTTAATTCGATTCCAGATTTGACAATTTCAGTGTTGCAACGTTATGACAAATACTAAATAGTGACGTTACGAAATTATTCGATATGGAAATGCAATATTTCTGGATCGATTCTTCTCGTTTATAATTTTACTCCCGTAAACTAAGTATATCAGGAAATTAAATATTTCTGAACCGATAATTTAGTTTTAACGATTAATAAACGATCTGAGACTTTTCTTTTATAATTGTGTGTGAAATAAATAAAAAATTTAATCATGAAGGAGCATGACAAATAAAACAGATAGATGTATTATGGTAATAAGTTATTTTATAAATTGTCGCCGTCATCGCTATCGCTATCCTGTCACTTTCTGTAACATTTATTATAAAACACACACACTGATTGTTTATCGATTTTTGTGTGCATCACTACACTATTATATGTGGTATCATTATTTCACAAAATGACAGTAGCTATTGTCAAATCTGGAATCTAATTAAAATTCTGACTATAGATGAAGTGTAGAAGAATTGTTTGTCCAAATATCCTCATGGGTAATTGTATCTACGCATGTCTGAATCTGTCTGTTTGTTTATTGTATAATATCCTCACCTGTTAACAACCTCCATGGAGTGTAGTGACATCTCCATGTTGACGAGCACACTGAAGTACTCGGTGATGTGTTGTGAGTGGATCAGCTTCAGCAACACGGATATAGCCACCATCGGGTTGTTCTCCACCAGCTCTGGTAACTGACATATATAAGCAAAAGTTAGTTTCTCGATGCAATATGAGACATTTATGTTCAAATACGCAGGTCACATCAGACTGCCTCGTTGGCCGAGTGGTCGCAAGCGGGACTGCCGGGCAAGGGGACTGAGTTTTTAAAAAGTGTCAGTAATAGCACGAAGTCTGGAATTCTGCATGGTATATGGCAATAGGCTCACCCCCTATTACATGGGACTTATAACATAAATAGTGAAAAGTGGGTGTTATATTCTACAGTGGTATAAGAAATGGATAAAAGGCGTGATATTATGTTATGTTACTCAAGTCACTCAATTTTAAGACACACACAAAAATAGTTCTGTCACTACAAATTCTTTGTAAAATGAGAGAGATAGCACGATATTTAAGTACTTTACATTGAGTAGCATTTCAGTATTCGGCCGTTAAACAACCATGACTTAATCTTGGTTTTGATTCTGGTTCAGGTAGCCTGTACCAGACGCCTCGACGACAGCAGCGACACGCCTTGAGCGCGGCAGGCCCGTGAACTATTAGTCGTTTATGATTGGTCCGTCATATTTTGAGTAAAATTAATGTTTACCCCAAACGTATAAATAAAACGAGTAGACGTTCTAATAAATCATTCTGTTCCAAACCTCACTCGCGTTTTTACTTACCATCCCTTGGTAAAGTGGTGACCCCGACGTGATTATTCAAATACCGCACGCAGCACACACTCAAGAAAAATTATTCAAATACCTAAGCACCTCGAAAAAGAACGACAAAACTCAAATACATCTGACAGCTGAAGAAAAACAGGCATTCGAAGCATGCAAGAATAGCATAAAAAACGCCGTTATGCTAGCACACCCATCTACTCATGCAACGATCTCACTCATGTGTGATGCATCCAACACCTGTGTCGGCGCAGCCTTACAGCAGTACATACAAGGAAGATGGCAACCACTTGGATTTTTTTCGAAAAAGCTGAACGACGCTCAAAAGAAATATAGCACATACGATCGAGAACTACTAGCTATTTACCTAGCTATACGTCACTTCCGAAGAATGTTCGAGGGGATGGATATCACCGTGTTCACCGACCACAAACCTCTCACATTTGCACTCCTGAGAGATAACAGCAAAACAGAGACTCCTATGCGAACTAGATATCTACATTACATCAGCCAGTTCACGTCAAAGATTCTACACATCGAGGGAAAAGACAACGTCGTTGCCGACGCCCTATCAAGAATCGACACAATTACTTCACCGTCACCGATCGACTATGACGAGCTGGCAAGACAACAACAAGTTGACACCGAAATCAAAGAAATCATACGTAACAAAAAGTTAAGATTTGAACGCATAAAATCGATCCACTCAAATCACGAAATATTATGCGAGATGTCAACAAACAGCGCACGACCATATATACCGCTACAAATACGACGCACAGTATTTACTGCAATCCACGAGATGAGTCATCCCGGTATTCGCGCCACACGACATTTGATAACGAAGCGATTTTTTTGGCCGAACATGAACGCTGATATAAACAACTGGACACGAAGTTGCATCGCTTGTCAACAAACAAAAACGCAACGACATACAGTGTCACCTCTCGAAGCCTTTCCCACTACTCACCGTTTGTCTCACATCCACATCGACATCGTTGGACCACTGCCTATATCAGATGGAAAACGGTATTGTGTGACAATGATCGACAGAACGACAAGATGGCCTGAAGCCTACCCTGTCGCTGACATAACAGCTGAAACAGTGGCCCGCGCTGTGTACGAAGGTTGGATAGCCCGCTACGGATGTCCAGAACAATTGACCAGCGACCAAGGCCGTCAATTTGAGTCCGAATTATTCAGAAACCTAATGAAGCGACTGGGAATCGAGCGCACCCGTACTACTGCTTACCACCCTCAAGCAAACGGTATGATAGAACGATTCCACCGCTCACTCAAAACTGCGCTAACAGCTCGACTTCAAAATTCAAGCTGGACGAGCGAGCTACCGACAGTCATGCTGGGACTACGTGCAACCATAAAAAACGACACAGATATCTCCGCAGCAGAAGCACTGTATGGCCAGTCACTCAGATTACCCGGCGAAATGTTAGGTGTGAAGATAACAAAACAAACACAATCTCATTACGGAGACGTCATAACAAGTGCGATAAAAAAACTAACCGCTGCACACATTAACACCGATCGACGAACAACGTACATACCTCGCCTACTACGGACGTGTTCCCATGTGTTTATGCGTACCGATGCAGTTCGCAAACCACTCACGCACACATACAACGGCCCGCACCGAGTAATACAGCGGAATGATAAGACGTACACCATACAAGTCGATGGAAAAACAAAGAATGTCTCCATAGACCGACTAAAACCCGCATTCCTGCTAGACTCCGAACCTGAAGCCGATGCAAATCGTGACGCCGCCTACACCACGAGGACTGGAAGACGTTCGAAACCGCCAGTACGCTTCGCTGGGGGGGAGCCATGTACCAGACGCCTCGACGACAGCAGCGACACGCCTTGAGCGCGGCAGGCCCGTGAACTATTAGTCGTTTATGATTGGTCCGTCATATTTTGAGTAAAATTAATGTTTACCCCAAACGTATAAATAAAACGAGTAGACGTTCTAATAAATCATTCTGTTCCAAACCTCACTCGCGTTTTTACTTACCATCCCTTGGTAAAAGCCCTTTTCGAAATTATCAGTAGTAGTAAAACGGAGATTGTTTTTCTTCACGAAACAACCTAGAAATTGGGTCACCAGTTATGCTTCGATTCTTGGAATCTAAAGCTCTCCTTCTCTTCAATCAACAATGTGTTTTACTCAACTACGCGATGCAAAGAAGCTCAATTTGTTCACATATCCACACTATATAGAATATAAGAAAAATGATACAGAAAAGTTCTTTTAAATATTACCTGGTTAGGCGTGATCCCAATTTCATACACAATATTAGGATCATGATCCAAGAGTGCGAGTAGTCTCTGTTGGTGCGGGACACTGAGCGCGCCGCGCAGCGCCAGCGCCGTCAGCTCCTTGGCTTCTGTTCCCGCCTTCACTCCTTCTTTTTCTTCTACTTTCTTTTCTTCTGGTTTCTCTTTTTTCTCTTCCTGTTAAAGTAGTTACAAAATATTTTAATGTGGTTATTTAAGACGTGTTAGGTGAAGTAAAGTACCGGTAAGTAATGCTTAAGTAGTAATCTTACATATGAAACTATCTCTGGAACTGATGGTTCGATTTGAAAAAATCTTTTTGTGTTCCATAATACATTTATCAAGGAATGCTATGGGCTATAAAACATCACGCTAAGACCAATAGGCGCCGAGTAGAGCGGGTGAAACCGCTCGGGAGTAGCTAGTACACAAATAAGATTACAGACTTTTTTACCTGGGAACTACCTAAACCACTTTAGGTATAATATGTTCACTATAATTATATCGATGGGAACCAATTCTCTCGCCTGGTAGCATCATTCCATTTACTTTTTATTAAATGGTTCAATTTAGCTAGCCTCGGTTGTTTGACTGGGTTAAATCTCAGATTTTAATGTACAAAAAACCGACCAAGAAACTCTACATACAACTGTATATTGAGAAGAATGACACAATACCTAAATTAATAATGTGTCAAAAATCTTATCCTGCACTTAAGTGTAAAATGTTCAATTGATTCATCGTACCCTTAAGTTAGTTTCCTGTCTGTATGTTTAGCAGCTTACTTTAGGCTTATGTGGCTGAGTGGTGTGTTGCCTCCTGTCGAGTTTCTCAGGCCGGAGCCCCACGAGTCCCTCGTAGTCCGTGTCGTACAGCGGGATGTACGCTCCACGGTTTACCAGGCACTTCCATACCGCCTGCAAGTTAGCATTATTTTACTTTATGCTACTATTGCCATTGGTCGTGGTGGCCAGGAGGTTTAAGACGCCCACTTTGATGGGGTTCAAAACCTACTATCGGCAAGTACCAATGTGACTTTTTCGATTTCGACTTTCTAAGATTGTTTAGACACCACTGACAAACGGCGAAGGAAAACATCATGAGGTAACCTGGGCTTATAATTTCAAATTATAAGTTTGTAATTGCCAATTGACCCACATTGAGCAAACATGGTGATTAATCCTCAAACCTTCTACGTGCTAGAAGAGGCCTCTGGTCATCAGTGATCTTATGGGCTGTTGTTGAAGAAGAAGATGATGATGATGATGAGGTAGCAACAGTCAGTTTTTAGATGGGTTTAATTACGTGAGAGAGTAATGGAAATAACAGGAAAGTGACATAAAACCACCCATAATATACAGGTGTGTGAGTCCAATCTCCAAAGGCCAGCAACCACAGTTCTAACTCCTTACGAGTTGTAAGGGTCCTTAGGTGGTGCCGATTGTTTACTATCAGATAACCCATAAGCTTATTTGCCCCTGTATCCATATCGAAACTGTTTTTGATTATAAGATCATTTATCAGCTAAGAAGAAATAAAGAATACCTTATCAGCAGTCATTTCAGCAGTGTCCATCAAGAAGGTGGGCAGTGGGATAGGTCCTGATGCCTTCAGTGTACGGTGCAGGGGCATGTAGTCATTGGATATCAAGTTCTCCAACAGTTCCTTCATCGCCATACGGTTTGGTGGACTCCTGTGGTGAACATTTTGCAAAAAGTTATTAGTAAAATTGTTCTTGTTTTTACAAGGCTTTTGGGAAAGTTAGTTTATTACTCAACTAATCTATCCACATGCTGAAGGCATTCTGTATACAATATACAACTGTGCAACATGCATCAGTCATACCAAACATAGTGATACCAATATTTCATTTATTGGTTCTATAAATGGTGTATAAACAAACCCATCACTAAGCGGTATCAGCGCCGGCGCCGCCGCCCTCGCCATGGAGCTCATGTCTGCAACCCTCTCTGCAACCAGGGTCTGCAGTGATGAGTAATCAAACTCCAGGTCTTTCGGAGCCACCTCTGTCAGCATCACCTGTTTTGCTGACTTCTTCATAACCTGGAAAGATAGGTTTATTGAGTTTAGTATAAAATATATCAAAAGATAATCATGTGACTACTGAAAGGCTACACAATTTAACTTGTAGTTAAATATTGCCCCATCTTTGTCAGTTAACAAAGAATTTGTCGTGTCTGAACTATGCTTAAGCACAACTTGTAAAATTGAGTGGTGTTTCAGTATTCAGGCATTAGTACCAACTTCCAGTTATGTATTTGGTAAAGGCGAGGAGAACATTTAAAAAAATGTTTAGATAAGGGAGAGCCTCGTTGTAACTTTTAATTTACAACAATTTATATTATTACCTACACACTTCACATATACCTTAAATTCTGTTTAACATCTTGATTGCTGCGACTTGAAACACAGTAGAAAATGCATTGTATAAAGGATACTACTTACATCTTTAATATTAACTGGTAGGAACCCATGCAGCTGTCCAATCAGTAGTCTTTCCTGCGGAGACAGTGGAGGGAGACCTGCCTTCCCTTCCAGCAGGTGCAGGAACAAAGAAGCAAATGGATTGTCCAATTTGTAGATATCAAAGATGATTGCCAGAGCCACTACTCGTTGTCCAGGCAAGGAGAGATCCCCACCTGTTACTAACGATGACAGAAGGAGACATACTGCAATAGAAATTAAAAAATATGAATTACTGATATACAGAAAAATAAATAAATACCACTGTCATTGCCTAAAATAGAATGTTCAAATTAATATTTCAGAAAAAAAGTCAAATAAATGGTTAAACTTATAAAGAGAAAGCATTGTTATCAATGTATGTTATTATTATTATTACATTAACGAAAGTTAACCTTATGGTGATCTACAAAAAAAGGTTTTATTACTACGATACTTACAATTAAAATGATCCGATTTAGGGAATTTCTTCTGGACCTGAGTACATATCGAATCTAGTGTTTGTTGGTCTACTGTCTGTTCTGAAAATAAGCTGTAAACAAAAGGAAATAATTAGACAATAATGTATTTAAAAATTAAGAGGTTATGTTATTATACGACAGATAACTTACTCCAAGATGTATTTACTGTTTTCATTCACTAAATGCTGCGACATTTTAGCAAAATATTCGATATTTTGTGACGATTTTATTATTGTTTATCTGGATTAACTGCAAAATATTTTGAAAACATACAAACGTCAAGCTCTCAAGTCAAGCGTCAGCTTTGACAAAATGTTATGGTTATCAGACAGAGAGAAGAGAATACTTTTGTCATAGATGAATAATAGACTTTTGTAGATGAGTTCCGATTTGTTTTCTTACTTGTCTATTGATTGTCTAACGAACTTGTGGGCATTTTGTAAATGATATTTTTTGCCGTAACAAAGTCCTTGCCATAATGTGGCCATAACCTTTAATTGATGTAGTATTATTTTTTGTTTTTTACTTTATGTATGTAAAATGATTACATTTGACAGACTAAAATAAAATTGGAAAATTATAACACTTTTAAAAGTATTTTTAGTAAGGTTTTAACTAGTACCTTTAATGCGTCAAGCGTGCCTTTGCATTGTTCTCACATATGCGTACAGTATTGGAATCTCGTAACCACGGAATATAGAACTTGGAATATGTATCAGATACATTGTAGAACATACTTTTTAAAAAAAAGAGTAACGGATGGAGTTTCTTGCTCATTCTTCTCCATTCGAATTTCGAATCTACATTTTGAAATGCGCACCTAGCTTCACCTAGCTTCACTGACGAACTGACTGACAGACTATTATTTATTTTGTATTTGTTGACGTTTCAAAATAATGGTCTAATTGAAATAAATGCTTTGACTTTGACTTTGAAAAGTGAGTGGTACAATATGTGAAAAAATATCTTGACAATACAAGTAACTATACTAGGCTATAGGGGCTAGATTGACCAAAAAACTGACAAAAGCCAATGAAACTCTTTGTTTCTAAATTCTAAATTTTTTTGTGTAATTAATCAACGAATTAATATTAATATATTAGCATGTTGAGACATGTTATCAGCGAACGATGCACTTCAGATTTGCTTTGATTACTATCTTATCTTGAAGCACATAAATATTCATAAACAAAGAATAATTTGTAATGTTCACAAATAACTACGTCATAAATATTGAATAGGGACATTGTTTTTTTTGTGAAACTGGCAAACATTTAAATATTTTATAGACATACCAAACAAATATTTATATCCGGATCCGGAAGATCCACATTTAATTTATAAAAAAGTTAGTAAATATTTGACAGAGCAGATTAATAATTACCCTAGGTTGAGGCCTTAGAAATAAAAAATCTAAGAAGGAGGTTTTTCCTCGATTATTTTATTCGTTTTTCTATACTATTATTTTCAGAAAATATCATAAAATACAAGGTATCTATTTTTGTTCGATATGGTCAAGATAAAACGATGAAATAGACAAATAAAAGGAAGGCGTACTTAATGTCTCATTTTTAACACTGTTTACACACCAAATGATCTAAATATTTTCATTGCGATAACTGATACCGTTAGCAATAAAAGGAGACTTGTTGTTCATCTGTCGTATAGTCTTCTAAACAAAAATTGCAGTTCCTTTATACCGCAACCATGTTATGTCTGACTAGACCTTTAAATTTTTCGAAGGCTGCTTGTCTTTATAATTTCCATTATCTCTTTGAGACAGTTTATATTAATGTCAAATTGCAATGTCAAGGACATGGGGTCTTTAATACATTTTCTCAACCATGTTATGTCTGACCAGACCTTTAAATTTTTCGAAGGCTGCTTGTCTTTTTAATTTCCATTATCTCTTTGAGACAGTTTATATTAATGTCAAATTGCAATGTCAAGGACATGGGGTCTTTAATACATTTTCTGGTGGTAGAGCCTAATAAGACCTACCTATAATCGTTAAGTACCTACCTATGCATTTTATGCAACATGAATAAGTAGACCGGATCAGTTATGGAACCCTCTCACAAAATAAATGATACAAAATACAAAGTAATGTTGCTACGTTTCATCTTCGTCTGGTAATTAGGATATTTGATACATGTCACATTGTTGTCCATGCGCCATCGTGTCTTTTTATAGCATAAGCCGGTAAACCTGCAGACGGATCAGCTGATGGTAAGCAATCGGCGCCACCCATAGACACCCAAAACACCAAGGCGTTACATGTGCGTTACCGGCCTTTTGGGAATGTAGAATTTGAGGATTGTGCAGGATTCGGGGATTCGGGAGACAAGGGAGGGGGGTAATTGGGCCTCCGGTAACCTCATTAACACGACGAAACACAACGCAAGCGTGTCCTTGCGTCATGGTTTTCAAACAGGGTTTCCCGGAAATTTTAGCACTTTTAACTGTTGTCTACATAGTCAGCAATGCACTTGTGATATCTCTGGTTAGTATTGCAGGTGTTTAGCTACTCCACTGACGTATATGTCTGTGAGCTATTCAGACTACCGGTAACCGCTCATTATTAACACCTTGAACGCCATGGGGAACAAAGATTGGGCCACGATAGCGGAGGATTTACCGTCAACAGTTTTCTGTCGGCAGTCAAAGGCTCAAACGAACTTCATTACTACCTATAGGACCTAGGATGTATAAAAAGGTTCACTAACGATAGGTTTAGATTAACTTCGAAATATAAGTTAAAATATAAAACATCAAACTGAGCTGACTAATTGTTAAGCAATTGCTGAAAGGCTAAACTCTTTAATTACTAATGTGATTGTATTCTTTAGCTCAATTTTAGCCTTAGTATTTTTAAGGCTTACCTACCTACAATAATGTACATACAAATTACTAGTTACGGCCATAACAAACGATGGAGAAAGTATGAGTAAATGTTTAATGAAAGATTGCAAAAAATTGGTATAGAATTTTTAAATATAAAATGCTCGTACCCGGTTCTTAGATCAAACTCTTAAACCAACATCAATCTTAACAACTACAAATGTCTCGCGTCGCATGTCTCTTTTGACCTACTCTCAGCTATTTAGCACATAGAGGTAGCACACATTCAAAGTAAACAAGTAGCAAATACATGTAACAAACAGCTCGTCATCGTCGTAACAATAGGGTCGGAGACGCTGAGAACAAAACCATTCATTTAGAACATAATGACTGATAGGTACCGTTATCAAACAAATACTTGAGTGAAAAATCCTTCATTAATGGGTTGCGTTTCACATGACTCGGCCGAATAAAGTTATCACTGAAACGCTAATTGTAAACGCACACTTTTTTATCTTACCAGTTTCTTGTCCTGATAAGATTACAGTGTCATATGGCTCACAACAGCGCCACCTCTACACCTTACAGACAGCGAGCATTGTAAATCAACGTAACGTTTTATTGTGATAATGTAAAAAATAAACCTAGAGCAGTGATGGTGCAGTGTATTGTCGTTTTTTGTGCGAAATGATACATCCTCCTTCCGTAACCATAATGTCGATGCAAAACGCAAGACCCTTGGATTTGCCCAGCGGGGCAGAAAGGCCACAGAGGAGTAGATCTTCATCTTGGTCCCTGCGGTACATGCAAAACGGATTTTCAAGACATGAACCAAGATATTCATTACAGTACCAGGTAGGTACCCATAATTACGTTGTTTGAGTAGATTAGAAGATATAAATATTTAGAAAGCCTAATCTTTGACACCATTTAAATAAAAATGATAAGCAAGTCAGTGATGATTATGTCGTGAAATTTTTACTGTTTTTCAAATCAGTCTCCTAAGATTTTCTTTCACCTAGTTCTTTTTTTAGTAAATTTTGTCCATTTACTTTTTGTACAATCAATTAAAAATACAATTTTACTTAACAGGTTTTTCAAATATGATATTATTTTTCAAATGAATATTTAGTAGCAAATAATTTATTTTGATTTTGAGACTTACCGTCTTATCTCAACTTTTATTTTGCTGCGCGAAATGAAACGTACTGCGCAAATGATTCATTTGTAAATGCAGGTTACTTCTGTCTAGACTTAGAGATGTGGATTTTTAAGCATTTATTAGTCCGTTCTCTCTAACGGTTGCTTCGCAAAGAGAGAAGGAGATGACAAATGTTTAATGCTCTGAAATTAAGCATGAACTGGAACGTACGACTAACTGTCATGCACAGCCTGTCACAGAAAATAATTATTATCCCCCGTGATATTTTAGTTTTTTTATTTGTGTATCACGTATTTCTAGATAATTGTTGCAGTTTTGGTGTTTAGATTTTTATATTGTCGCCTTAACAAGTGTAACTAATGGTGATAGCCCGTAGAAGACCCTGTATTATATTGGCGAATAACAATTAAAGGAACGTGTCACTATTATTTTACAAACAGTTGTTTTCAACCGATACGTCGCTATAGGAATGTGAATCGTGTCTAATTTTATTTAATTATTAGTATATTTTCACATGGGTGATGGCTTGGCAGTCGGACACTCTTGTAAGTTGCAAAAACACAATTTCTTTATTAGTAGAAACTTGTATTTCTTATGACTTCTTCTTATTTATCGGTAATACATACACGTCCTTGTGAACGATTAACATTTTAATGCGTTTTATTTTGCGGAACGAGGTGGTTTAATTTATTCATTTGCGTTTTTGTATGACAATATTGTGTTATGAAGTTTGGTCATAGAATTGGTGGTGTATGGCTTATCCTAATGAGATTTGCCCTTCAACTTGATGTTACGTGCATAGCGCAGCTAACACGACTACTATTCATGCTATTCTTTTTGTGTGACTATGTTTTAGGCTTGTTCATGTTACAGTGTTGACAGTTAGTCATGATCTTTCTTCAGAACATGTGTCAACAACATGCATATTTACTTGAAATTAATAGAAAAAGTTCCATTCTCAACAGCTACAGCTTTATCTATTAGTATTGAGGAAACATTCTGTTGGCACTCTAAGTTTGTTATCACTTCACTCTTATATTCATTGTCATAATTAGTGAATGGCTAATGCATGGGCAAAGAGGTTTATACAGATAATTGATATAATTTAGTTGAGTTCAATGTCCCCTTGGCAGCTTGTACAAATTACAAGATAAACATTTCACACAGAATCTTCAAAACTTTGAAAATAATTTTTTTATTTTCTTTTTTCTTACACTAATAAATCACTATCCGTTGCTTATAGAAAATGTGCCTGCAGGATTTTATACATAATATTATATTAAAAATGATAGGGAGTAGTTATTCTCGTCTATATAACATATTCTATAGTTGACAAACACTGTTGGCTATATCAATTCTCATCATAATTTAGAATAAAATATATTTAGTGTAGTACCTATTTCCTCTAATCATGTCAGATTACGAAGTAAGCAGCTAAGGTAAAGTGAATTGCTAAAGAACTATCATTTTATTATGTTTGACTTAAATTATAAAAATATAATGATTAGGTAATTGTTTTGTTTGTATACATATATTTAAGGAACGGGTTTATATTATTTGAAATACTAATTAACATCTACCTTCATTAGTGGGTAGGTACCTCATGTTACAAAGTTGAAAAAAATAATGGAAACAATTACAAAATCCATCAAGTTGACTTAGGAAATGAAAAAAGTACATGATACTATGTATGTTCTTATATTAACTTGTCGAGTACCGGTTTTGTAGACACAATTATAGAACAATAGGTTGCGGTCACCGGTGACCGCTTGGTGTTTGACAGTTTAACTCGTCGAGTACCGGTTTTGTAGACACAATTATAGAACAATAGGTTGCGGTCACCGGTGACCGCTTGGTGTTTGACAGTTTAACTCGTCGAGTACCGGTTTTGTAGACACAATTATAGAACAATAGGTTGCGGTCACCGGTGACCGCTTGGTGTTTGACAGTTTAACTCGTCGAGTACCGGTTTTGTAGACACAATTATAGAACAATAGGTTGCGGTCAC